AGGGATGGAGTTTTCCCAGGACATGGGGTCTTTAGTGCTAACTCTTTGGAGGTTTGGTCCCCGTATGCCGGGCACATCATGGCACATGCAGCGTGTGAACATTCAACATCCCCTGAGTGAGCTAGCTGGAGTCTGGAACGGAGAACTGGCTAGAGTTTCAGTCCTGTTTTTCTCTGTCAGGCCTAAGACTGAGGATGCATCTCTTCACTGCTCTGCACTTTATTTTGCCTTAAATCTCTTGCTAATCCAACAGTGGGCAAGTGAAGGTCTGTAGACACGTTCTGAGATGAGGAAGGCACCAGAGAATAAACACCTCGTGTATAATCCTTTTTGATGGAGGTGGGTCACCCACAAAGTACTCTTCTCAATTCAAAAATACAGTTAGGATTTATTATGTACCAGGTGACATAGGCAATGCAAGCTATGTCACATACACTGCCATCCCTCCAAGAGGGGGACACGGATACAATGAACTATTTCTACTACCAGGCTACCAGGCAGATCACTAAGATGGCAAAGGCCATGGGATCTGGAGAAGAGAGCATTAGGGTACCTCTGCTTATTACATGCCAGCTACCTTACATTCATGATCTCGCTAGTTATGCTTATATGCATGCATACAAGTCCTTCAGTTGATCCATTTAACTCTTATAACAATTCTATTTCTATACTCATTCTATGAATGAGGAAAACGAGGCTTTGAAAAGTCAACTATCTTGCTCAAGATTGCAAGTTAGTAAAGGAAGTCTCTAGGGTCTGAATCCAGAGAGTTAGGCTTTGTCCCTGGCACTGTATGAGACTGAATCTCTGCCCTTGTGGGAGGCTGGACCCTCAACACAACCAGTGTGTTGGACATGCAACCGGGCGAGTCTGGGAGCAGAGGAGTGTGGGTGCACCTGGTGGAAACATGGTGGAGAGAAACAGGAGGTGGGGTCTCTGAATCTAAACTGTAGGATCCCAGGGCATGATAGTGGGGGCCCTGGGAATGCTGATGCTCTAAGGGACACCGGCAGGACAAATGGTGTCCTCTGGCCCCTGGCTGCATTCGAGTCTAAAGAATGTATGACTAGAATGTGAAGCCAAATGCCTGACTTCTTGGTCATCCTTCAAGGGCCAAAGATGAGTGGCAGTCATTATTTTACATTTTTTAAGTGTGCATCTGTAAATCCTCAAAAGTATATCTTTCTTATGTACTTAGAACATCTGAGCAACTTACTTTGCATATATTGGGCGCTTGATCTATGCAAATCAAATAAAAATAAAAATGTGTTGATTTGATATGCTGTGACTGACTTTAATACGTGCATTTGCAACAGTGGATTTAGAAGTTAGGAATTCTAGCACCGTCAGCTATTGAAAGCGCTCATTTCAGTAATAACAATCCACAAGTACAGTATTCCTAGTGGGCTATGCTAAGTATCCAGAGTTTGACATTGCATAGTTATTGTTCGTGAAACATCCTCAATATCTTTTTCTTTTCTTTTATAGGTTCTGGTTTGTGTAAAATAAGTATATAATTTCAGATAATTAAGCATTAAAAACACTTGCTGTTAATTTGTAAAAGCATTAAAATTAGTCTCCCTGTAATCATAATTAACAAAGCATAAAGGTAGGAAGGATACTACTTGAAGCAAGATTTAAAGAAATATAAGTTTCTGATACCCTCCCCTCCATTGTTAATAATTCCTGGTTAATCCAGTGGTAGTTTCCCCCCAAAGAGGCTCTTATCTAGAATACAGGGTTTTAGGGAGCATTTCTGTGGCTCTGAGACTTCAGTCAGCTCCTGGCACGGCCAGGTTTTAGAACCCCAGTGGCCTCTTCTTCAGAAAATAACAAAGTTGTCTGATGGCAAAGAAAAGGGCTTTCTTTACTTTCTGACTTCCACTCAGCTACGTCCTACAATGGCCTTTATGTTTCTGTAGAAGTAGAAGCTGATGTTCAGATCTGTCCATCCGATGCTCCGGCTCCTTTAGCTCAGTGGAACCAACACTGTGTGTGCTTAGGGGCACTCTTCCTCCTGGGGGACCTGCGGGTCAGATGAAGGTATTCCCTCCACCTGAGCCTGTCAGGTCTACACTCGCGGGAAGCAGAAGCACGTTCTCTTCTCTGTGAGGTCAGAGTGGTTTCTCTGCTCTTTTCCTTTCACGGCCCCGCCCACTCTTTCCTTTGCCCTTGACATTTTCTAAAATTAGCTTTATCACTCTTCCCAGCATTTTACCAGTAACCCCCTTGAGCTGTTTGCACAGCCTTTTCTTCTTGAAGTGGCTGTTTACTCACGGCAGCCTTTACACAGGCCAGACTAGCCAACTCACTCAAGAGGCACTTCAGCTTCTTCCCACACTAGCTGTCCAACCAAATTCAGGACAACATACTTCCTGTCCCCAAGAGCTTTCTAGAAAGCTGTTGTAATAAATATGAAGAAAATTAGCACTTCTTTAGCCGATGATATGCCTTAATTATACCCAGAAAGTCTTGCCCTCTTCCAGAATTCTTGAGTGATGCAAAAAAATAATGAATATCTACATTAATAAAAAGGAAACATGCAAATTGGTGTCACTTTGCTACACCCACAAGCCAATCAGGATGAGTATGCAAATTAACCAACAAAGATGGTGGTTAATTTGCATAAGCAGGCACGGAGCGAAGACTGAAGACTGAAGACAACTGAAGACTGAAGAGGCTTGGCTTCTCCACTGCGGCTGGACCAAATACCTGGGTCCCGGGTGCAGGAGGAAAACCAGTGCTGGCAGCCAGGGGAAGGAAGGCCTATTGCATGAATCTTCATGCAACAGGCCTCTAGTAATAAATAAAATGAAATAAAAAATCTACCATGTATTCTGATAGCATTATAACAGATTTCAAGTTCAGAAACTCTAAAGGTCATACATGATATTCACTAACACCTTTGCCAGATACAGGTACTGTATTAAACATGTGTTTTATTTTTTGTACTTGGATTCTTTAACATCTAGAGTCTTACAGACCACGAAGGTCCCAGGGCTAGCCAATCCTAGGGATAGTAAATAATTCAGGCTCAAGCTATTTACTCACTCATCAATCCCTACCAACAGAACCCACACCCCAACCATCTCCTCTCTCTCCTCTCACACTTAGGTTCCTACTCCCCTGCCCTCATCACCCCAAGGCCAGCTACCAGACAACCAGGTAGCTCCTAGGCCCAGAGCCCTCTGAAATGATTCAAACGGGTTCATCTTTGAAAAAGATGTTGCTTACCTGCCTTGCCCATTCCTTCCCAGGGAAACCATAATACAGGCTCTTGCCCACATTCTCCCTGCTCCCTCTGCCTCAACCAATCCGGTTGCTTCCTTGTATGGCCCCATGACACAATGTGCCCCTTCTCTTGGGATCTGTGAGCATAACAAACTATCTTTTGAGAGTTTGATCTGTTGGCCTCACCATACATAAATAGTAATAAAACCTTTATTTTAGAAACATTTACATAAAGAGAAAGGAAGATAGGGTAGCACAAGATGACAGCCTGCTCTGCATTCTGGCCATTATTCAGATGCACATGGATGAAACACAGATGCTCTCTCAGTTACATTTCACAAAACTGCCCCTTAATGTTTCAGGAAGAAAGCAGGATTTTACTATAAAGCAGTGTGTTATTCTGGCTAAAAAAGCCCTTTGTAGAGCTGACTAGAAATATCCATGATGGGCATCACGTTAAGATACCACATGTCATGAAAGATGGTGGGTTTCCCAAGGCCCTTGGCTTCTAGAGTGCAGACTGGGTCTAATTGTAACAATAACTTGGGGATTCTTACCATTTGCAACAGCATGGATGGACCTGGAGAGCATTATGCTAAGCGAAATAAGCCAGTCAGAGAAAGATAAATACCACATGTTCTCACTCATTTGTGGAATATAATGAACAACACAAACTGATGAACAAAAATAGAGCCAGAGTCATAGAAGCATCGATCAGACCATCAAACCTCAGAGGGAAGGTAGGGGAGGGTGGGGTTAAGGGAGAAATCAGCCAAAGGACTTGAATGCATGCATATAAGCCTAACCAATGGACATAGACACCAGGGGGGTGAGGGTATGAGTTGGGGGGGAGGCAATGGGGGGATAAAGACAGATATGTAATACCTTAATCAATAAAGAAAAAAATAAAAAAAATAATAACTTGTGAAGAAAATGAATGCTGGCCCCTAAATGATAACAGCAAAGTTTTGTATCAAATGTTCTGGGTTCTAATATGTTCTATTAAAACTGTGTCCCAGCCCTAGCTGGTTTGGCTCAGTGGATAGAACGTTGGCCTGCAGGCTGAAGGGTTCTGGGTTTGATTCCGGTCAAGGGCACATGCCTGGGTTGTGGGCTCGATCCCCAGTAGGGGACACGCAGGAGGCAGCTAATCAGTGATTCTTTCTCATCATTGATGTTTCTATCTCTCTCTCCCACGCCCTTCCTCTCTGAAATCAATTTAAAAAACACACAGAAAGTTGTGTTCCAGCGGATCTGTATGAAAAGCAAGGGTTCTGTGATGCTGTACTCTCGTCTGGCTTGTTTCTATCCCAGAGTAAAGGCTACTCAAGGCAGTTTTACTTGACTTTGTCTGCCTCACAGCTGCCACACAGAAGGTGCTCAGTATCTATTTACCGCCTGAAGAGATGCTTCTGATCATCTTTTGATAACAGTTAAGAGATGACATGAGAGAGCAAAGGTGTCCATTTAAGGGATTAAGTCATTAGGTGACTGGTGTTGGAGCTGAGAATTAAAACTACTCCCTTTGGCCCAACCATTACAATCCCATTTCATCCTGCCACCTCTCCGAGAGGAATTTAAGACCCTTATTTGGTGGTCATGGACATTTGGCATCTTATGACCTTCCACGACCTTTAAAGTCTATCTCATTCTGCAATGCTTCCACTAACAAGGACCCATTAGTGAGCAATTTGCCTGGGTCCGGAAGTGCACCATGACCAACGGCTGAGCTCCAGGGCGTGACTTGGTCACTGCAGGGTGACACTCACCAAGGGCTCCAGCTCCTTGCGGTCGATGAGGTTCATCTCCGTGACGAAGTAATAGAAGTGCTTGTAGCAGGTGTTGACGTGGGCCTCTGCGCCCATCACGATGACCCGGTCGAAGTGGTGGATGTAGACGTGCACGAAGACCCGGAAGAGGCGACACAGGATCTTCTTGCAGATCTGGAGGAAGTTCTTTGGGAAGGGGACACCTGGAGAAGGCAACAAAGAGAGAACAAAACCATGATGGGAAAGCTCCGGTAGCCCCGGGACCAGGCGGAGGCTGAGAGCATCCTGGGTGAGGGCCCCAAGGCGCCAGACACCGCCTAAGACAAGTGTTAAAGTCAAACGCCAACAACAACCAGGAAGAGACTCCCCAGGAAGAGGGAAAGGGCCTGGTTTGTTTCTTTGGATCTATCTTATTTTGGTGCAAATAAGTGGGCAGGAATACTTATTTTTACATAGAAATGTGCACTCTCCCATATCGCCTTTTAATTTTTCCCATTTTATAGAGCACAAGAAAGTTCATTTCCCTGCTCTAATATAAGAAAACTGGTAGGAGGAGGGTGACCCTGCAGGGAGACTGGCACTCCCTGTCACTGGGTACTAGGGAGTGGTGGAGACTGTGGCAAACACAACTCTAGCCAGTGGTGGCCAGCTTGGGATTTTTCCAGATAATCCAATAATCTGGAGCTCTATGTGATTTGCTGCATTAAAAAACAAACAAAAAACAAACACATTAGCAATTTATCTAAAAGTTTAAAGAATATCACAGCTCAAAACAAGACATTTTTCTAAGATAGATGCGCCTGCAGGTTACCAGCGCACCAATTCCGATGGGAACTTTTCCTGAGACACACTGTTTCTAAGGTGGGCAAAGGCAGCAAACTTCAGGAATACCTTACATTACATTCATTGCCACCTCATCACCTTGAGGAGGGTGAGAGAGGAGGGCTATGTTTTTCATAACACAGACAGGGTGCGTGGTCAGACGAGGCACCCACAATCCCCTTCTGATGACAGCTACTCCCAGGTGGTCAGGCAGCAAACAGCAGATCCACAAGCCTATTCCTCTCTCCCCCTCACACAATGCCTAAGCGCCTGTGAGTTACACTGTCCTAAGTGATGACATGTTACGGATTGCTGAGTGAAACAGACTGTGAATTCCCACTCTGCTCCTTTCCCAGCTGCTTGACCTCTCTGACCTTCAGTGTTTCTATATGTAGAATGCAGATAAATATTCCGATGATTGTATTAGAAGTAGTACCTGTGCAACTTTGGTTTCCCGCCTATGACAAGGGGGTGGTGATGAGGCCTTCCTTGCATGGCTAGGAGGGTGTTAACCCAAGAAAAACCCTCCCAAGTGCCTAGAACAGAGGGAGGGCTCACTAAGTGGGAAAGACCCTTCTCTGTGCAAGGCAAGGCCTGCAGCATGTAGCTATGATTATGAGGGAAATAGTTACCTCAATAGGTGGACATGATAGCCGGCCTGTCCACAGAATTGCAGAGCTGAGCTCAGGGCGGCCCCTGGCCCCCCAGAGCCCGGGGTTTGCTGTCTGTGCCTCACAGGGTCCCGTGGCAGCTGCCTGGTAAGGGACACTCTGTAAGTGTAATGGCACTCCCAGGGCAAGACGAGAGAGACGGCACACGGCTGGCAGTTGGCAGAGGCAGGACCTGCCTCCCCGGGGCCCAGCACTGATAGCGGCTTTTCTTCCAAAACAAAGTGGCAGCATATCAAGTGAACCCGGGAGAGACTTGGGCACAGCTTGGCAGCTGACTGTCTGGGCAACAGATGCTGGGATTTGGGGGGGAGTGGGGAGGTAAAGCTGGGGAGGAGGTGGAGGGCAGCCCCTCAAAGAGTTCATGGGCTGTTTCCTCTGCTGCGGGAGAGGGGTAGGCAGGAGAACCCCTGCTGCAGGCTGGAAGGGGGTCTGGAGCCTTCTAAGAAGCTCGAGTCCCAAAGGGGATAGATCCCCTTGAAGACAAGTGTGTTCCCGTCAGAAGAGGCGTCCGATAGCCACACAGTGCCAGTGCCAGTGCCAGGGGTTGGCATATGTGACCTGCGCAGCCTGCCCGTGAAATGGGCTTTAATCCTGTGTCACAGAAGAAGAGCACTGAGGCTCCGGTGCACCGATGCACTCATTCCAGCAGCTTAGCTGGTGGCGGGGCTGGGATTTGGACCAAGTCAGCTTGCCTCTAAAATCCAAAAGATCTGGTTGTGTTTGGAGTGTGACTCTCTCTCTCTGCCAAGAATAGAGGCACAGCCCATTGCTAAGCATAACGAGGCATCTGAAGGTTATGCTTGGTGGCACGAAAAAAAAATTTAAAGAAAGAAAAGGGAGAGAAGGTGAAAAATGTCCACTCCTAGGAGCCACAGACCCAAGTGATGAAGGTCAGCTAACACAATCCGCAGTCCCCAAGGGGAAATGTGTTTTCTCGCCCATGCCTTAAGACCATGGATCTGAGACGAAGAGTAAAAGCCAACATTTACTGAGCACTTACTATGTTCTAGGGACTGTACCAAGGGCTTTACCTGGATTACCTGACTGAATCCTTGAACAACCCTCGAAGATAGATGCTATTACTGTTTCCATCTCACAGATGAGGAAACAGACTAGCATCCATTCCTCTGACAAGCTCTGAGCTCTTGGCTCTGCCCTCCACTCCACACCTGGTCTCTGGTCTTTCCTTTGGCCTTGACCTTGGTTTGCTCTTGCCTCTCCCTTTTAGGCTATGGCAGGGAATTTCCTTTGTGGTTTTTTTTTAATACGTTTTTTTAAAATGTTTTTATTGATTTTTTAGAGATAGAGGGAGGGAGAGGGATAGATAGAAACATTGATGAGAGAGAAACATCATCGATCAGCTGCCTCCTGCATGTCCCCCACTGGGGATCAAGCCTGCAACCAGGGTATGTGCCCTGATGAAGAATCGAACTGGTGACCTCTTGGTTCATGGGTCGACGCTCAACCACTGAGCCACACCAACTGGGCTGGGAATTATCTTGAAGTAGTTGAGAGGAGTTGGTTTTGAAGTTTGAAGACTTTAGTTTAAAATCCTAGTTCTACAACTTACTAGTTGTCTAGGCAAATCACTCTATCACTCTCCATCATGGAGAAAAACATTTACTCTGCAGCAGCGTTCTTAAAAGAGGATGTATAGGATGCCTGGCACTTAAGGGGGAACTTTGGGACTATGTCCTACTTCTGTTATTTCCCACCTGACCTCAGGTAGGTAGGCCATCAGGCTCCGAACCTCTGCTCGGGCTGCTAAGTTGGGCCTGACTCTTTCACCACGGTCTCCCTTACATGTCATTAACTCTTCAAAAGTGAACGTTGCAAATGGCTCGTCAGGACACACTCAGCGTGTGCCATAGTCAGCCCGGGCCAGCTCTGGAAGCTGAGAAGCCCAGGCTGGGAGTCTTATGGGCACTAGGTTTCACTGTGAGCCAGAGACAAAATCCCAGCTCGCACAGCATGGGGTTGAGAACAAGAAAGTTACGGGGCATTTGGGAAATTCATTCAATATTATTGGTGGTTCGGGAAACAATTATGTAGTTTGTATACCATCCTAACCCTTTTCTCCCTTTGTCCTCTGCCTTGCAGGTGTTCAGATATGCATGTATGTGCATCTTTGTATGTGTGTGTGTGTGCTTTTCAACAAACCTTCCTCAAAAGGTGGGGAGTGGAAGAGATCGCGCCTCTGGATGTAGAGAACTGGATGGCCACCCCTTTGGTGGACCCTCTGTCACTGGCCTCATGGTAGCAAGACAGGGAAGGGCTCAGCCCTGCTGATCCCCTCCCTTCCCCAACAGCTCCAGAAGGGCCAGATCACAAAAAATTGATTGACATGAGAGGTTTTGTTTTTATGGTGCCACTAGAAGTCTCCCATCTCCATAGCCACAGACAGGCGAACCCTGAGTGAGGCCTGAGATGTGCAGGTAGGATGTTGTCTAGTCCCAGTGACACCTGAGCAGGGGCATTATTGTTATTATTGTTTTTTCATGTAACGGAGTCTTAGCTCAGTTAAAGTGTTGGCCCTGGCCCCACAGCCGAAAGGAGGTAAGGCAGGCATTTGGCCCTAAAACTCGGGTTCTTCCTTCCACGTCTGTTCCTGCAGGCTCCATGGTGGCAGGGACCCCCACTGCTGAGATGGCTGCTTTTCGACCTGCACTTTGTTCAGTACCTGCCTTGTAGAAGCTCAAGTAATGTCCGTTTGTTTGCTTTTTTAAAACTTATTCTATTGATTTCAGAGAGGAAGGGAGAAGGAGAGAGAGAGGGAAACATCAGTGATGAGAGAGAATCACTGATCGGCTGCCTTCTGCATGCTCTACACTGGGGATCGAGCCTGCAACCCAGGCATGTGCTCTGACCTGGAATCAAACTGTGACCTCCTGGTTCATAAGTTGACACTCAACCACTGAGCCATGCCAGTCAGGCTGTTTGTTTGCTTTAAATGAAAATAGTCTAGCACAGCGGTTGCCAACCTTTCGGACCTCACGGAGCACCAGTGGTCCACTGACCATCGGTTGGCGACCTCTGGTTTGCAGGAGGAAGAATAAAAGGCTAGGGAATCATTTCAAGTGGACATTGGGCAGGTTACAAATGGCAGCCTGAACCTGAGGGGCTGTGCAATGTCTGGGTCTGGGCCAAGGGCAGTCTATGGGGTCCACAGGGCAACCCTGACCTAGCTCAGGATCATAGCCCACCCCCTCCCACTGCCAAGTTCACAGATTCTGTGGACACTACACTCTAGGTATATTTTAAAAATCACTAATCCTGGGAGATCCTTGGCTAAAACAATACGATCCTGAGGTCAAATATATTTGCAAAAATGCTGCTTTCACAGAAGTTTGCAGTATCCTAAACACAGGGAAGTATCTGAGAATTCCTGCAGCAAAAAGTCCTATTTAACTCCGGAGCCTCCTTTCCCCATAATATCTGTTGATTTCAAACACAGCATCTGTAATCAGCCTTCTCAGGTCTCCTTTCTGGCTCTGCTCCCTATTAATAGCATAGCCATAGGCTAATGGCTTCGTGTCTCTGAGCCTCAGTTTCCCCATCTCGGAAGAAACCGGGTGTCAGTGTTATCTGTAGCTCAGGAGGTGGTTGTGAAGATTACATGCACCTATCAAAGGCTTCGCTGATGCCTTGCAGACAGTAGGCCCTCTTTTGTGAACTGTTAGTTTTAGCCTCCCACGGAGACCGAATGTTTT